GACCCCAGCCTTGCGAAGGACTGGGGCCAGCGAGGGCCAGGCTCCTCCCCAGAGGGACGGGGTGAGTGGGGCCCCAGCAATACCTTCATCCGAAAGAAGGTGATGCTGGTCAGCAAATCCACCGTCGACTTGAGATCCTGCAGCCGTTCGGGACTGCTGGCAGGGAAGTTGTTCTGCCAGAGGGGAAGAAAAGAGCGGAGCTGCAGACAAAATGCTCACAAGGGTGAGGGAAGAGGGGCGGGGAAACAGCCACCGGCTGTTTCAGGCCTCATCAAACAGGCGGGGAAACTGAGGCACGGCAGGCACCTTACCCGGTACATGGAAAGGTCAATCCGCAGCGAGTTGTGGAGCTGGTCGAGGAGCTTGACAAACCGCTCCTTCTGCGGAGAAACGCCCCGGAACCAGGTAAACACGGGAAAGGCGGCAGGGACCGTCCCCCCCCCCAGGCCACCCCTGCCTCTCTCTGCCCCAGCCTGGCTCGTGCCCCCCCCAGCTCATCCCTCTCCTTCCTGCTGTCCCGCTGTCCTCCCTTCCCTCCTTCCTTCGTCAGAGCCCTGCAGGCATGGGATGCCCACTGAGAAGAGCGTGTGGTCGCTGGTGGCTGGGGCTCACTGGCAGCCGTCAACAGCTCCCGGGGCACACATGGCCGTGCCGGGCGCAGTACGGGATCGAGAGGCAATGCCATGCATCCCCTTGGCTCTCGCCGGTGGTCGGTGCCAGGGGGGGATGGGCTGCTCTGCCTGCCCTGCCTGCTCAAACACCTCTGAGCTGGCGCTTGGGGCAGCAGCAGGGAGAGGGGGGGCAGGATTGTGTCCCTGGGCCACGTGGGCCCTGGCTCAGAGCTTCCAAAGAGCTTAGGAAAAAAGGAAAGAGCAGCCGGGCTCTTGCAGCAGTCGCCCATCTTCAGGGCCGAGCTGCTTCGAGACAAGGCCAGGATGGCCCAGGGGTTGGGTGCCTCCACGGGCTCCTCGCTCGCCCAACCGGGCTGCATCAAGGGATGGGGGCAAGGAACCGCCCCAGGTAGACGGCAGCACCGGGGCTGAGTGGCTTTAATTCAGCTCCCACCCAGGGAGCACAGTGCAGGAGGATGCAAATCCCACGCTGGGGTGTGGATCGGGCATCAGAGCTGAGGGCAAAGCAACCAGCCTGGCCCAAAACTCCGTCAGAAGGCATTTTGCTTTCCACCTCTGCCAGCGGGGGGGACTTTGGACAAGCCCATGGGCCTTCCACAAGAACTGGCTGTACCAGGTCAGGGCTGCCCCACAGGGCTCCAGAGAGCCCGGAGCAGCTCCCCAAGTCCTGCGGGGGGGAGACAAGGGGA